CGAAGATCGGTTAGAGAAACTTATATCTCGCATAAAAAAAATATTATTTTCCCTTAACCTCACTATTATAGAGCATGTATATGTCGAATGCCACGACTAATGACATGATGTGGCACATCGAACATGAAGTTAAAGTGGACGTCATATGTCATTATTTTGACTCGTTTGCATGGTAGCATTTCAATCAAACATGTCCTTCTTTTGCATTAGAAATTAGGAATGTCGGATTGGGAGTCTAAACTGATGGGTTTCAACCTTTTAGTTCATATAAACAACAATATTCTTCGTGGCATGTAATTGTAACGCTTTATAATTTGCCACCGTGAAAGTGTATAGAGGAGGAATATATATTCTTAACTATTGTTATTCTAAGACCGGAAAGCCTAAAGATCAACCTAGACATGTACGTATAGCTCTTTATTAAATAGTTGGTTGATTTATAAGAAGTTGGTGTCTTAAAATTTTCAAATGCAAGCCATAGTCACATGGATAATCAACAACCTTGTTGCATAGTCAATGTTATCTGGTCGGAGTACTATAGGTAAAAAAACATGTCGGAAAGACTTCTTAGTTTGATAGTCACTATAAGTTTCTATCGGAAAGTCATCTTTTAAGGAGGAACTAGAACACGTTCAAAAGAAATATAGTTATCATAGGCATTGCTCTTCCGATCATGTCCGGAACGGATATTTTGCATGAACTAGAAAATTGAGGGTTGATGAAAGTCATGAAAGAGGGTTTTGAAAAGTGTAACAATAGCATATCTAGAGTTTATGGTTGGAAGAAATGAAATATATCTAAGACCTTCCTTATTAGAGTTCGATAAGAATTTGAATGTGATGCACATTAAAAAAATTTTTTTGACAATGTGTTTAATATAGTTATGAGTGGGTAGGAAAAAAACCAAAAACAATGTCAACTCTAGAGAAGACTTGAAACTTTATTGTTAGTGGCCATAATTAGAAATAGATGAAGACTCGTGAAAGATATCCTAAAACCGTTACATTCCATGATCTATTATCAAGAAATATTTGGTTAAGATGTCGATACGAACAACCTTATATTGCATGGCATGAAAAGTTATGAATTTTATGTATTTATGCAGAAATTAATACCGTCACATTTCATGATCTATTATTGAGAAATGTTTGGCAAGTACTAACCGAGTTGAGCTTATTCTTTAAGAAATTAACTTCTACTATCATTAAGGTTGAAGATATGAGCCATCTTGAGATATAGATATCTTTAATTTTTGCAAACTTGAGTGGATATTTCCATCGAGTTTCTTTAACTCAATGGAAAATCTTCAGACCATTTGGCGAGATGAAGAAAAAGTAGTGAGACTAGTACAATATCAATGGATATATCTATTTAAAAGGTAAATATATTGATTTTCAATCCTTGATTAATTTTGTTTTTTAAATATTTGTTAACTAACATAGTATCTTTGGAAACTAAAAAATAATATAAAGAACAAAGTAAGAGTTAAAGGGCTAATATGTAATGCATATTTAGTTGAAGAAGCATCAACATTCCGTTTATATTACTTTGAGCCTCATGTACATACCAAACATTGAAACATGCCACGTAACTTTGAATGTGCTCAAGAATCAAATGACAACACTAAAGGGATGATTTTTATATTAAAATCGAAAGGTCAATCTCTTGGTGAGCAAAATCACATATGATGACAAATGAAGAAAAGCTTATATCGCATACCTACATTTTATTGAATTGAAATGAGGTGACACCTTATATTGAGTGAGTGCTAAAATTAGCAAAATTTTCAATGTTGAACTTTATTAATTATCAATTATATATAATAAATATATTAATAATCTTATAATTATTTTTTCTTCGACGACTATTTTGTGAGCCAACTTCATCAAAATAATCCCGACATATCGAAGCACGAGGTTGATGCTCAACTTGAAAATGATTTTGCATCATGGTTTCATCGATATGTGAGTAATACATAACCTAACTCGATTGCCTCACCATTATATTAAAGATCTTACAAAAGGACCATTACGAATAGCAAAGTCATATCTAAGATAAATTGAGAACGGATACAAGGCCATGGTTTAGATAGAGCAACAATATGCCGTGGAATGTATAAAAGGAGTTAATTACGAGTGTTGAGAAAAATAACTATTATGGTAGGTTAGGCGATATATCGGAACTTGAGTATCTTGCATTATAAATCATGAGAATCATATGATTCAAATGCAATTGCTATGATACTTCACCTTCCATTGGTATAAGGGTTCTTGATCAATATAGACTAGTAAAGATATATAGTCGTGTAAGGTCGAAAAGATTCGATCCCTTTATCCTAACAACATAAGCGCATTAGTGTATTATGAAACATATCCAACATTGAAGTGCATCGATGCCATTGGTTGGTTGCATGTAAGGTTAAATGAAGGGCGATGGTGGCTATGTTAGAATCATCTCGTTATGGTCTAAACAATTATGGAACTCTTTCGGGAAAATGATATGGAAGCCTAAAACAATGCCATCCAAATTGATGATGACGATGGTCGGTCGTTGACTAATTCAACAGGATCATTAATAGATTTAAAAAGGGATAAAATTAACGAAGAGAATAATGTTGAATTTAAAACAAATGTTGAGGAAGACTTTGATGACAACTTTAACAAGTGATGACCGGGATAGTGATTAGCGGTAAGGTTTGATTATCCCCACAGTTTAATTTAAATTGTTAAGGTAACATATATATATATATATATATAATTATGAAATTATTTTTATTAATCGTAAAATAAATATATTTTAACTTTTTTATTGTAATATAGATGTTTTCTAGTTGTTGGGTTTTATTAACTAATGATTGTGATAATATATAGTTTATGCCTCATGATAAAGAACATTTTCGCATACAAGTGGCCCATATCATATGGTGAAGGTTGTAGCTCGGACACTAACGATCGTAGTAACCATGGATGTGGGCATAGTCCAGCTTTCATTCCAAGTTGGATGCCCCCTTGACATGTCTCTATCCCTCTCGCAACCCTCGTGTCTATCATCATTTCACATGTCTCAATCCAAGCCCCCATCTATATGAACCTACATATCTCTACACTTCTAAAACTTCATCGTCATTAGGGCTATCGCCCTAACAAGATGACTATCAAGTTCCCGCATATAGCTCTTTGTAATACATCCCTTTTGGTTTGCCTTCTACATTTGTCGATTCTACCTACGATCCTCGCATTCTTATTATTCTCATTGATGACAAGAAGTATGTATTATGCATTTTTTAAAATATTTTATTTAGTATGTTATATTTATGCATTCATTTAATCATTAATTACCTTATTTGACAGACTTATATCCATCTAATATGTGCTCTCGTCCGATCTAGAAGATGTTCCATAAGCATGTCAACATATCCGAAACGATATGAAATTCAATTACCGAGCAAACTAAAAAGTTCTATTGAGAAGAGTGTAAGTAAGTTTGTAGTTTAATTTATTATGTGATAGCACATTTAAATTATGAAATATTAATGTTCATTTAAATGCACAAATGAATATTTTTAACGTTCTTGCAAAGTTATTTACATGGAATCGGGAGTTCAATCAAAGCATTAGGAAAGCATGGCGATTCTCACACGAAAGTTATATTTTGACTTTCTTTATCGAGTGAAAAGACATTCCAAATCAACATATATCTCACAAGAGATATGGGATGAATGGCAAAAGGAATGAGCAAAATCCAAGTCTCTTGCTTGATTTGAGCGAGGCGAGTGAGCAGCCCGAAACTATAGGAGCGACACGAAAGGCATCGGGGCTGATCCATCTAAACATACAAAGGGTTTGTTGAAGTTCCTTGCATAAGGCATTACCTTGTTGGAGTTGCTTGGTAATGGAGTTTAGCATCAATCACTGTATTTTGTTGTTGAGATTGGATCTTCAGGGAGAAGCAAAATGCATTTTTCATCATTGTTCTTGATCATGTTAGAATAATGAAGTTACGAATATTCCTGGCTTCTTGGACATGCAGTCTAATTCTTAGAAAGCATATTCAAGTTATTTGTCGTAAGAAACTCTTACTAGATACTTGTCTTGGTTTTGCTCAACAATTATGCACATTGAGATCAGGACTCTTTCTTGGTTCTCCGCTGTTTGTCCTTATCTGGTGTTTGATACCATGATTATCCGGCATCGTAGCATTCATGTAGCTTCGGTTGTATTTGGTGCGAGCTAAAACGATGAACTATTACAAAAATAGATATGTTCAAAGGAATAAAAGCTCACGGTAGGCATAGCTAGATCCCTCTTTTCATCTCATGTCAGCTTTGAAGGGATGCTAAATCCATCATTGATCATGCCCAGAAATAGAATTCACCTGACAGGCTCAACGAGAACTACACTATATTTAGTCCATGATGCAGTTCGTTTGGCCAATCTATACCAAATTTTAGATCCTCTCTTGTCCAAGGAATATGTAACCCCATTCAGTGGCATCAAAGATCAGTACCTGCATTCTGGCTTTGTAGCTTTCTGTAAGAACTATGAAGCCAATCCTTTTCATCAAAATGTTTGGCACTTTCCATACTTCGTGGGTGCAACATCAAAAAAATAACATATTATTGATACTGATAAATGCATGATTCCTCAAGCAAGTGCGTGGAGTTTCATGTGTAGTGTTCCACTTTTGAGCCTGAGTGAATCCATAATGAATAAATGATACAGAAAATGAAATGGCCCTGTGAAGAAACATATCAAAGCATGCTTATGCTTTGAGCAACCAATTCCAGGAGGTTAAATAAAGCACCAGCTATATTTTGGGTGTGAAACAATGCAGGATTTATTTTGAGCGCACATGAAAATTACAACAGCCAGTTCTGTGCAAGAACATCCCGTTCAAATTATTAAAATTCCAAAGCATGCAAGCTTTAAACATACAAATGTCCACACTTGCATTCTTCATCTCTTCGACGAAAGGCAACAGGAGGAGATCAAAGAAGCAAACTAGAACTTCTGAAAGAAGTCATAAATGTGCTTATTGATCTCATCGGGCTTCTCTTCATTGATGAAATGACCCACACCTTCCATTACAACTAGGTCCTGTAAAAATGGAACATCTCTTTTGAACCCGCCCTTGGCTATATAATCCTTGGCACCAAGAGAATTATAGCTGAGGTCCTGATCACCCACGATAAACTTAACAGGAACTTTTATTTGAGCTCCAGTCCAAGGTGCGGAAAGTTCCCAGTTCCTGCAACGTGGAAAGAAAGAGAAATTTCTGAGGAAAAAAATGAAGCAAGAGCAGGGGAAATGAGGGAATAAAACTTTTAAAAGGTCAGATAACCAAAAAGTGCAAAGGTCACCATGTCAAAAGCTATAAAACATGCTGGAACACTTGGAAATATTAGGACTCCGGAGTATGAATTTCAATTCAATCTCTTATTGAAAGGTAATCAAGTCCCATTGTCCCCATCAATATGCAACAGAGACAAAAGAGTAACCAAAACCCAAAATACAATGAGATGAGAGGCTAGAGACATCTAAATTTCTATCAGAACAAATTTTTAAGAGTAAAATAGCACCAGACTACAGGAAATCTTTAATCAGCGTTACCAGGATAGACCAACAAACTGAACAAACTTGGAAGCAAAGCTTACCGGTCAAGATTTCGGTAATAGTTCAATCCTCCAGTAAAGCCTTTCTGCTCAAATTTGCTGGTATAGTACTTAACACCTTCTTCAGACAACCAAGAGGGCAATACAATTGGAGTGTCCAGAGGCTTTCCATTAAACCCTTTACCTTTGGGTAAAAAAAGAGGAGCCGGAGTACGGTAGGTTAAGAATTCCTTGAGAATTCTCTCTGTACCTATCTCTGCAAACTGAGCTTCTATCTCTCCAGGCTCCTTCAAAAACAATCAAGCAGCTCCTTCATTAAAATGGGTTTTGCACATCACTATAAAAAGCCAATCATGATAAACTGTACAAGACTAAAAGTAAAAATTTTCTCAAGTGTGCCAAAGAACAGTCAGATAATAAATTTGCCTGATGCCATGAATTATTATTTAAGCTTCAGCTAGAATTATACTGTTAAAGAATCTCTTCAAAGATGGGCCAGTTCAAATTCTTAACTACCAACTACTTACAACCAAAAAGCCTAATCCATTCATCCCTATTAAACAATCACTGCAAATAGTAAACAAACATATAAAATAGATGATAATCCAATTCCTATATTACATATAGGTCAAAGATTTATAAATTATAAGCATAACAATCAAGAGTTTAAAACTTGACGATAATCTCTTCATATGACAAAAGCAATGATAGATCAATTCAAATTATCAACTACAATTAACTATAACTAAAATACCTCATCTATTCATACCTGTTAACTAATCGCTTTAAATAGTAAACATGCCTACAAAATCTACTAATTTAATTCCTATAATCCAGAAAAGGCGAAGGATTTGCTAGAATAACAGTAAAAAGTTACAAGTTGACATCATAAAACAGTAGGCATAACAAATCTACCAATTGTTTACTCCAATTGACCCATTATCGCATCAAGAAAGCAACTTTCAATCAGGAAAAAAAACATGATTAAAATAACCAAAACAAGAACACCAAATAACAATAAAACAAACCTGGAATCTGCACATGTAATAATCATCACCATAAACAGCCTTTAAAGTCGGAATAACTTTCCTACTAGGACTCCTTGGATTAAACAAAACACTCATGTTAACCAAAGCTTTAACTCTATCTGGTCTAAACAAACACAAGTACCAAGCAATCAAAGCACCCCAATCATGCCCCACAACGAAAACCTTATCTTGATTCGGAGCCACAACATCAAGCAACCCAATCAAATCACCAACCACATGGAGACAGGTATAGCTTGTAACCTCAGCTGGCGCATCTGTGTCACCATACCCTCTCAAGTCCGGTGCCACAGCTCTGTAGCCAAGTGAGGATAGAGCCTTAATCTGGTGTCTCCAGGAGTACCATAGTTCAGGGAATCCGTGGATGAAGAGAATAACTGGGGCATTCTCTGGGCCTTTGATTGCTACATGCATGTTGATGCCATTGACATAAATGGTTTTGTGTTCTATGGAGGAGTCCATGGATTCTGTGTTTTGGATTTGGTTTTTTAGAGGTTTTACAGTGCAAGAAAATAGTGAGTGTAGTTGCTTTGCGGGTGCTTGGTGAGAGGATGTATAAGTAACATTAAGAATTACTATCAAAGAGGTCAGTAATATTATTAGTTTAGGACACAAATAGTCTGAGCTGGCTCTCATGGTTGGTGTCCTTGAATCCAAATTTTGCTTCTTCTTTTTTCCTTAATTTTCTAAATTCTAAATATTCAAAAGAATTTATTATATTGAATCCATTAAATCTAGAACTTCTAAATTAGAATGAGAAATGAGACAGTTGGTTTTGATGGGAGATAACATTCAAAAAAAAAAAAAAAAAAAGTGAAGTTAAAGACAAATACGATATGATACAGGAATATAGTTAAATTGCTTTGATCTTGTCATCATTAGAGAACATGATCAAAATGAAGACTGTGTTTTATAGGTTTTTGGGACGGGTGTGAACAAGGACGAATGAGGAAGTGGCATGAGGCAAGTGATTCGAAACGTGTTGTGTTGGGTTTGGTACTTGATGAACTTGTGCTCACAATGTTGTTACTTCATAATTAGGGTCAAGCTTTTTCTTCGTTGATGACTATAAAAAAACAGAATGCAAAGGAAACGGTAAAGAATATCAGAATATTTTTTCTTGAATTTTTAAGATATCCAAGGTATAAAAGTACGGACTAATCTCTCATTATTCCATCGATCGCACAAAATAAGTATAGTTATCCAAAAAAATTTTTACTTTCATAAAGAATGGAACCCAAAATCACTTGCTTAAGCGATTAGAGTTCCTTCCACTCAAATTAATCCTCTTGATTTAGAATATCAAATTATTTAATTGAACATCCACTTATTAGGTATTGTTTATGGTTCGTTTGTGTGTGTGTGTTTTTTTATTTTTTCTCAACTAAAAGAATTGTGTAATAAAAGAATAAAAAGATAATTAGATAGTAATTTGCAAAACAATATATTTTTTAAACTCAAAAGCAAATGAACCTAATTAATTGTGTTAAATACATTTTTGCTATTTTGTTTTAATATAAAACTAAATTACATTGTTCTGCAAATCTTTAAAATGGGCTTGCTATTTGTCCAAACTAGTTACATTATAAGTTTGCAAAAATAATTATTCATAAATACAACTATTCTAAATTAATAATTTGAACATTTAGACTAGTATGTAGTCAAAATAACAAATACAGATTGAAATATTAAATAATTAAAATACTAAGAAAGTAGCGTTGTAGTATTAACAATAACTCAAAAGCTACAAACTTGAAATCCTTAACAAAATGTGAATAAAAAATCCCAATGTTGTAATCTTTACAATACTCAATCTAAAAAAAAAAAACTTAACATTTATATAATGGTGAATATTTACATATTAGCACTCTAAACATAACACTCACAGGAACTAAAGATCAAGATCATTTCGGACTCAAGATGAGACTTAAGTACTAGCTACTAGCCTACGAATTATCAACCTCGCTTGATTATTGTCTATGAATGCCTACTAACTATAGCCTAATAAGTTTTAAGTTTTTTGAAACTTGAAAAATTGCTCTTTTAAAAGTTTGCAATTTGCAAGTTGAGTTATTTATTTTTATATAGTGTTTTTTCTTCCACCTACTACGACTAGTATTTATAGGTTTCTTATTCCTCCATAAGGTTGTGCAGTGGATCACTTTCTACTATATTCTACCATGTATCTTGTACTTCTTTATGTTCTTCTTTATTATTTTTTTCTTATGTTGCAATGTACATTTCTTATAGTTGTTTTGTTATTCTTGTGTTATAACATCTCATGTTTCTTTTAATTATCCGGTGATAATTATATTTTTGTTGATGCTAGATTTTTATTACTCTTCTATTAATTACTTGTTGATTGATTTTTCTATTAAATAGGATTTTTTTTCCACGTATTTTTCTCACAATTCAATCTTGTCAAGAGTCTATATTCCATATGTATCTCACTAATTTTTACTATTGCAAGTTCTTTTAGTTTCTTTCATCTAGATTGGAATTTTGGGTCATGAGAAAGTAATAAACTGTAAGCGAGATATGGATTATGTAGAAATCGGATAAGGAATGGGATTAAGTGAAGCCGATCAAAAAGGTTAAGAACAAGAACCCAATGGGCTCTTTCTTTTTAATTTATTGGACCAAAGCTCCAAATCAAATTTTGGTATAATTGTTATTTTCACTTTTACATCCAAACTATTTTTTGTATAAAATTTACTATTAAATTATATTGCTAATAGAAAATGTTAGGTTTCCTACACAATTATATCATTAAAAAATCTATATAATTTGAATAGAAATATGGATTGAAAATGTTAAAAATTAATGGAAGTTCATAATTAAAAATTTCTAAAAGTCTTAACGATAAAATTGATACTAAAATTTGTTTGATAGTAACATTAGGACTATCTATATAACTCGGATGGTATTTTTAAAGATTGCCTTTAATTTTTTGTTGTGTATCATTTAAAAGTCTGCTTTCGAATTTTTATCCTTTGTTTTGATGTTCTCACTTAGTTGTTCTTTTATCATTATTTTTCATTTCTAATTTTTTTAAAAAAAAAATTAAGAACAAAAAACAATCCTTTCTCCTCAAGTTTTAGATTCTTAACCAAATTAATCTTAAAAATATGATATATATATATATATATATATATATATATATATATATATATATATATATATATATATATATATATATATATATATATATAAAGTACTTGTGACAAAGTGAAAAGTAAATCTTGAGAAATTGGTTAGCTCTACTTTGCAAAAGCAAAGCTTTTTGTTATGTTTTTTTTAGCGATCCGGTCCCACTTGGTATGAGAGCCCGATAGATTTTTGGTGGAGATAGAGAGATTTATGGATTAGTTAGATTGTCTAGTCTAGATGGGTTGAGAGGTGAAACAAGTAAAACCATAGTCGCATTGTAAGTCCTAGTTGAAGCCCAAATGAGGCATGTTTAAGCTATAAATCATTGACGAGTGATCCTTATAAAGTCTAAATCATTATCTAGATCTTCATTTTCTTCATAACCTTCCATGGATAGCACTTCGAGTTCTAATAAAGAAACCATATTAGTCGAGGAATTTGATAGGCAATTGCGAGGGTAAAAATTACCAAATACTTCTCTAAAAACCACACTCAAAAGTTTTTTCAAATTTTTTATCCGATTATGTTATAAAATTTGTAGAAGAAACTATCTAAAAAAGAGATAAGATACATTCCGAGTTACTATCTAAGAGACTAATTGAGTCCATAAACAAAAATACAAGTATCTACACTTGGGAATGATCCAAGTAGGGTTAAAACCCTTTACTAGAACTGGACTAAATATGTTCACCTTGGCGCCGGTAAGAGACCAAAGACACAATGTATTTAAGGATTCCTTATTAGGAATCATAGAATTCACCTTTTTTGATGGACCTATTCACTTTGGGTGCTTTCCAAACTTCACGAGTATCCTTTTGAGATCCAAATCTTCTATAAGCCTTAACTTTAAATATCAAAACCAATGGTTTTGATATGCTTTGAGAATCGAAAACGTTGTCCTAATTTATAAAGTATGTTGCAAGGTTATGAATACCTTAGCACCTAATATCAAGAAAACTCCAAAACTAATGAGTTTTAAAAAAGGAGAAAGCAACATGTTCCTCATTGATGTTGTTAGTGTAGGTGTCCACGATCCAACCATGTTTGGATAGGTTTGAGTTATTTTATTATTGTATTATTTATTTTATTAATATGACTTCTATTAATTCTTATGTCTTATATTTAGTTATTGAATAGAATTGGATAGAAGTCCTTATGATATGCATTTGCTTTAGTGATTGATCAAAAGATGTGGGACAAACACTAATGCAAATAAATGATATTATTAAATGTCTCAAGTCGTAGTATTTTCAAGAATAGACATTGACTATATACGGTTAGACTTGTGATTGCTATGCTCATGCTATATGATAACGAGTAACGTGAGGAGATCTCATACCTATTAGCATAATGATGCCGAAGCAAGCATTTAGGTGATTTATGTTAAAGAATATATCACTAGACTTGACTCGCTATGATAACTCATTTGATTTAGTTTATAGGTATCTCATACGAGATCGGTATAACTAGTCCTTCGACTTGAAGTCATCACTTTATCTTATTAGAGGATTTATATACTTTGACAATCATTTCGATGGACCAAATAAAGGGTTGTAAGTGGGCAATTTATTGGGTGCACTAAGAATCTAATGGAGGTAGGTGGATGACTAAGATAGGAAACATTATTCCTTGTATGGTAAAGGAGTTATCGTATTAAAATTCGATACACGTCCGCTCAAGAAATCTATGGCCACAGTAGGAGTACACAAATAAAGCATAGTTGGTTTAATATGAGAGCTAAGACATTTAGGAATCGAAAAAAACTTATGTGATCGTGATTGAACAATACTAATAACCAAGTTTAAGATCACACTTTGATAAGTTGACATAAGAACTTAATTATATTGTAACTATGCTCGTAAAAGGTAATTACGGATTAATTAATCATCCTAAAGAATTGGAAGTTATGATGTCATACTAGAGGTCAATCTTAATTTATGTATCAAGAGAAAAAAGATGTGTCTTTATTCATGATGCCAATATATCTAGGAACCTATTGAGTTATACACATAAGTTTAAGCAATCACATAATAAAAGAGAAACAAAGATTTTGGTAGTTGGACATCTTATTTACACCAATTACTCAAGAACCAACCAACCTCATCTTATTTATACATCGACTACCAAGAATATGTCTTTGAGGTTGTGAACATGTTGATATAGTTGGACAACATCCACTAGCTACATGCTAAGACTAGCAAAGTCATGAGGGGTATTAAGAGCTTTTGTTTTGTTCTACCATGCATAAACTTGGAGACATTTGAGGAAAAAAATCAAACATATAAGGAATTTGATCGACTTTGTACTCAAAT